TGTGATGGTACTTCAGGCAACCTTGCAGTTTGCGATTTTCAAACATATTTCTATCTCTTTCGCTTTCTACTCTCTAGTACCATACGACAATTGGGGCTCCATGGTGTTACCTGTAGAACATGCTAAAAAATTTCATATACTTAGGTATCATTCAAATTCATGACGACCTATAGATATGTAATCCTTTAAGTGGGAAGGAAAACATGTCTTCCATTAGAGCAAATAAGATACTGATCCCTTCTGACATGGCTCAAATTTGTATAGCACAAGCAGCTATCAGAAATTCTTCAAGCTCAAGAAAGAATTAATGTTCAAATCAAGAATTTAGACTCACATCCCCAGACACTGATGCTCCTCATGACTGTGGAATGCAAAAGAGGTGGATAATGAAAGTTTATAAAATAACAACCATCTGTAACACTGCAATAGTTAATGGTTCTAGCGAACAAGCTGAAGATCTGCAAATATCAAGCATCCAATCTGGAGATCTCGAAGTCGACTGGAACCCTAAAGAAACTTGAGCTACAGCACAGCTGGGTGGTTCTGTTGCAGGATGAAGGGATTTAAGGAAAAACAATCCACTTTTTGTAAGTTTATGTCTCATGCCGTCTATAAGTTCTTACAACTGAAATGCTTCCAACACTACAATCCGACAGTCTCCTGTTACACCAAATTCACAAACCAGAAGAAAAAATAAAAAGAAACCTTAAAGAAACAAATACTTTAAAAGCCAAAGGATGTCAGCTCTGACATTCTATCACAGAACCATATGTGAAAATTAAACATATTAATGCATACATAACCTCATACTGTGAGGTAAATCACAACTTACATTTAGGTTTGCAAACAGTGTTTCATATGACAGTAATGCACTGGTTTAACAAAGCCTTCATCAGCAGCCCACACAACTTGGTGTCTGGTGTGCAGCAGTACAAACACACCTTGGCAATTATCCAGTTGCAGTGCCATTTTTCATATCTGCCCAGTGTTTGTTAATTTTTGCAAGTAACATGCAGCCACCGGATGACTTCGTTTCTAACTCAAGGAGCTACAACCAGCAGGATACTGTCTTTGTATCCTAGCATCCTGCTGCAGCTGGTATTAGAATTTACCTTCAGTTGTTTAACATCCACCATGCAATACTATCAAGGTTTAAATTCAATCCTCTCAGAATTCGTCAGTGCACATGTTTCAGCCTACCTGGCCATCATCAGGCGCGTTGACATTCTCGGGAACTGCCATGCCTTCTGAGCTACTGTAACCTCTGTGTTCGTATTTACATTTTTAAATGAAGACAATGTAGTTCTTCCTCCTACGCCACATATACCATCTTTTTTGGTATGCCTGATGCCTATCAAGCATGCAGTGTGATGTTACTGTAAATACGAAAACACCAGCCACAGTAGAGATGGATGCATGGCAGTTCCCCCCAATTTCAAAGTACCCAGTGATGGCTGAAAAATGTAGTGCAGTGAAGAATTTTAAAAGGCTTAAACTTAAATCTTGGCATTCTTGCACAGTGGATGGTAAACAAGTAAAAATAAGATTTGAGGCTTTCACGGCGGTGACTATGAAGAAAGCAGTCTTCTGGGATTTGGCACCATGTATATGTGGTGTTAACCGACGTTCCTCCGAAACGTCGGTTAACACCGCATATACACGGTGCCAAATCCCAGAAGACTGCTTTCTTCAAGTAAAAATAAATTATAAATGATACCGAGTGCTTGCAACTCTGTTCTATTGTCCAAGAAACACATAGCATCTATAATAATTTATGTTAACAGTACTGAGTACGGGACCTGCCACACTACACTGAGAAGCTTTCAAGTAGCAAAAGGCAGGCCTGCAAGGCTTAGGAAAACTGACATGGACAGAGTGTCAGTATTGCGTAAGGAAAAGGCAAGGCAAATTTACTTACATGACCTGTATGTGGTCTGACAATAAAGTTTGCAAACTCATCGCAGTAAAAGTGCTACATACTTCATTGCAGAATATCACTGTGGTCACCTTCCAAGGGAAGCTATGCACTGATGCTAGCGCCTTGTCCGCCCTTCAAAACAGTTTTGGAACTGGTTTTGTGGAATGGCCTGCAGAGCTGCTGTCGTGTTACTCCTGATGTCATCAATGTCATCAAAATGCCTTCCTTTCAATATTTCATTTATCTTTGGGATCAGAAAAAAGTCACTGGGGGCTAGATTCGGTGAATATGGGGGTGTTCCAGCACAGTTATTTGTTTACTAGCTAAAAGCTGCCTCACAGGCGCAGTTCTTCAGTGAGCTCCTTTGGGACCATTTTTTGCACACACCTTCCCCATGTTGAGATCTTCAGTTAAGGCTTTCCTAACTGTTTCTCTGTCGATGTTCGCTTGTTCTGTTATGCTCCTGACAGTCAGCCAATGATTTTCACGCACAATTTGACAAACTTTTGTGATGTTTTCTCCAGTTCTGCCTGTTGCTGGGTGTCCTGATCTCTCTTTGTCAGCAACACTTTCTCTTCCATCAGAAAAACATGTCGGCAGCTCTGAAGGTCATTCCACAAGACCAGTTCCAAAACTGTTTTGAAGGGTGGACTAGGCGCTGGCATAGGTGCATAGCTTCCCAAGGGGAGTACTTTGAAAGCAACCACAGTGATATTCAGCAATGAGGTATGTAGCACTTTTACTGTTATGAGTTTGCAAACTTTATTGTCAGGCCACATACGTATGAACAAAAAATCACTGACAATGGGTAAATATTTCTGGGGAATATTTAGTCCGCACAGTTCTGAAATGTTAAGATTACTGTCTTCTGACATGTGATGTCAAAAAGTCTGATAGAAAGATTATAACATTTCAGGGGCACCTTCCGCCTCCATCCTCATTCCTCTACCCTGAAGACGGAGGCACCAGGTTCCTCCAAAATGGTTTAACAATCTACAAGCGTACATGGTGTCACATCCTAGAACACGGTTTTCTTCATAGTCTCCACTGTGAGGACCTCATGTCCTGCTGATAAGGCAGTGGCCTGCATGGATCATCCCAAGGGCTCAAGTTCTGGTTCCTGCTACAGTTGAGACATTTCCAAAACACAACCTATATTTAGTGTTTCCTCTGATGTAGCAATGTTTGAATGTGACAGAATAGCCTGGCATGACTGCTACCACGAGGGTCGTACTGAGAGTCATGAGCAATAATTTTCTGTAAAGTAACATGCTTTATTATTGGCAAACCAAATACACCACCTCAATCTACAGGCCTTTCTTTATTTTTCCACATAATCGCCACTTCTTTGTACACATTTCTCCCAGCGTTCTGGGAGTTCGAAAATTCCCCTTCTGTAAAATTCCGTTCCAGCCATCCGAAGACACTGACGCACTGCTTTCTGAATTGCCTCCCTTGTCTCAAAACGTTGTCCACGCAGCTGATCCTTCAAAAATCTGAAAAGATGGTAGTCGGAGGGTCCCAGATCAGGGCTATAGGAGGGGTGTGGAAGAACTTCCCACCCCATCTTTGCAACTGCTTCCAATGTGAGGCGAGTGGCATGGGGGCGAGTGTTGTCATGCAGGATGATGATGTTTTGTCATGGACGTTTATCACGCAATGCACGACGGAGCTTGTGCAGCGTCTGGACATAACGAGCAGCACTGATGGTTCGCCCAGGTTCCAGGAATTCAGCCAGAATAAACCCCTCTGCATTCCAGAAGACTGTGCCCATCACCTTCACAGCTGATGACACTGTCTTTCTGCCTTCTTTTCTGATGGAGAATGCAAATGGTGCCATTCCATACTCTGCTGTTTCGTTTCAGGCTTGAAACGCTGAAACCAGCTTTCGTCACCTGCCACAATACAGAGCAAAAAATCATCGCCTTCATGTCGATATCTCTGCAGCAGTTCTGAGGTGATGGCTGTTCGCTGACCTTTGTGGTCTTTGCTCAATAACCGCAGGACCCAACGAGCACAAACTTTCTTACAGCCCAAGCTTTCAATCATCTCCTGTACTACACTGTGCCCTATTCCAAGTTTTTTGGCTATTGTGTCCACAGTCACACACCTGTCATCTCGAATGATCTCATCCACTCTTTCCTTGCTGCATTCAGTTGATGCTGTTAGAGGACGGCCGTTCCGAGGCTCATCTTCGATGCTGGTGTTCCCATCTTTAAAATGTTTCACCCATCTTCGAACACTGCTCACACCCATGCACCATAAGCACGCTGAAGTCTCTGGAGAATTTCTGCAGCAGGGATTTCGTCTTTCACAAGAAATTCAATGACAGCACGCTGGTGAAATGACATATCGTTGTCGGCCATTTTGTTAGGAGTGATACTGGTCACGTGATGCAAGCTACTGACGTCACAAGACACTCAAGGTTAACACAACAGCTGGTTCCACCTACAACCATACTCTTTCGTCTGCTGTTCCCAGGTTGCATGCAAAAAAAGTTGCTCATGACTTTCAGTACGACCTATGTAGAAACGCTACCCCAAACCATTCATCTGTGAAACTAATCCAGATAAAATAGAAACAGGAAGGATATACAACTGTGCACGGAAGACTAAGAAAATATCTTCACATTTACAAGACATCTTGCTGTAACTCCGACTAATCAAAACCTTTTTACTTGACAACATTTAGAGAAAAAAATTTCTTACATATGTCAAGATGGCAATCTTATTCATGCATCGACTGCCATCTCACAAGTCAAGTGGCAATTCCTTTCTCACAAAATGGAAAGATCCATTATATCAAAGTGAAATACCAAGAAACGCTGACTGCTACTGTTGTGAACTGTGAAGGATCATTGCATTTTGCAACAGGGAACAACCCACTACCATGTTAATACAGGCTAGGATATAACACAGTAAATATCGAAAGCTTCTGTTAAGTGCACGTTAAGTTTCCTCTCACGTTTAGCTTTACCCGTGTCTCTACGAAATGTCACAAAATATTTATTGTTCACTATATCTTTTTAGTTAAAGTTACATTTAAGATAATAATAGTTTTTATATTAATAATTTTGTTTCTCTTTCACTTAACTCTACTAAAAAATTGTACTAAATGCTTCATTTATATTCAGTACGTTCCATTTTCACGTTTAGATTTACAACTTGACAAGTTGTTACTTCCAACTTTCGAACATAAAATCTTTAAGATTATAAAAGTGTATATGCATTGAAGTGTGTACACGGTCGAGTTTCCTGGCGACACCTGCAATCATAACAAAGAGTTGTGTTAAGATGTGAATCAACATCCAGGCTCAGACAGTGAAACCCCCATTTAATGTTCCTATGAGGAGAAGGAGACCTATTGCCACAGCTGAGGAAAGGATTAAATTTAACATCAAAATTGTAGAGTTGGGGTCACTGAAACTGAACAGTGAATGTGTGAAAACCACAAATCAAAGAAAATTAAATGTAGGTTCGAACATGTTTATTTCTACTTTTTACCCATGACTACTATAGCCTTCACATGATCTCTGCAAGTGTCAAATGTTATGGCAATATGTCCGATATGACTCAGGTTGAGACTGACTAGTTTCAGGACTAGATACAACATGGCACTACGCTAGCTAGGACACAACTCATCTGCTAGATGGCAGCAGAGCACAATCTGCAGTGTTATCTGTCATTCATTTGAAAGATTGAACTTGCATCACTCAGCATGTACACCTCGTGAACTGAAGCTATGTGTGATGCCCTCTGGATTCTGCATTTTGTCGGGAAGTGGCAGATTTCTAGAAAAAGAGTGACTGCAGAAACCTGTCAGCTGCTAAAACTTCACTTCCCAGAGGGCACAAACAGCAGATTGGGTTTTCTGATTTCAAAGCAGACAGTGCTGAATTTCAGGATGTCTGTCCCTGAGCAGAACAGATGAAAATGTGCTGCAAAGGACGTTCAACATGAGATCAAGTGTGTTAATAACTGGAACGAGGTGGGGATCATGTCAAGGCATTCTGACACACGATGGACTGCTGTAAAACCTGCACCTTGCCTGCTGAGTAACAAGCAAAAGCAGGATGATGAGAAAGTTTCAGACACCCATAATTCCTTAAATTACATTTCTTTTTTTCAAAACTGAAGTCAATGCCAGAGGGGAGGAGATTTGACAACACAGTTCAAGAACACTGACAGGCCATGCTTGCATTGTTCAAAGCATGACTTCTGCAAAAGCTTCCAACAATGACACAATTGCCATTATGGTCATAGGGGAGCTATTCAAGCTGGAATGCACGAAATAAAATGTAAATAAGTTGCGATACAGAGAGAGAACAATCTGGAAATTATCTGACAACACCTTGTACGCATATTCACTTCTTTTATCTGTAAATTCATTTCTAGCAGACTTTGTATTTTATGAAAAAGAATGAAGTATCCAAGATTCTGAAACATTTTGTCATAAAACCCATGTAAGGACATATAAAGACTTAATATTTTCTTATACTTAAGTATATAAGTGATCCATTTATTGCAATAACTGTTTGAAAACACAGTGTGCAGGAAAACATTTGCATCTGAGACATAAAGCACGCAATTTAGGTTATATAATAAGGAAACCTATGTAGTGAAATAAAGGAAGTAATAATGGGGTGGACATGCAACTTGAAGGAGAAAATTTTGTGGACAGGACATGGAACTGGGTCAGAACTGTGCCCAATGGCAGGTTTTTCTACTACCAGTGTTGACGTTCCAAGTTCTGCTGCCAGAGAGCTGTCAGCTAGGATACCTCATGGTTAACAACCAGAATTTGATTCCCAGCAAGAACAAGAACTTCACAATTTGCCACCAAATCCAGACTGGCTATGAGGCCAACCTAAGCAATGGGTGTCAGGGGCTGCCCCATCAGTGAGAGCACTCTGCTCCATGCACTGTCATGGTGCTTGAACACAGAGGAACAAATCCAGACTGGCTATGAGGCAAACCTAAGCAATGGGTGTCAGGGGCTGCCCCATCAGTGAGAGTACTCTGCTCCGTGCACCATCATAGTGCTTGGACACAGAGGAACAAATACATGACTGGCTGTGGTCATGTCACTGATTTCTGCTGCCCTAAAAACATGAATTTGGTTCAACACCAAGATAAAGAAGCAGGGGAAGGGAATACAAATTATACTAAGAATAAGGCAACATGTTGAAGAAAGCAATTCCCCACCCAAAACGGACAAAAAGTGAAACTGGAGGAAACTCTCTAAGAAGAAGAGCAGATTCTGTCTACGGACCAACTGGGTCTCACCAGGATGGCAGTCAATATCCAACTGATGGGAGATCATCAGTTTAAGGTCGCGACCCCCTCGCAGCCTCCTCCAGTGCTCGCACCTTCATCTCACGTTCCCGCTGTTGCCTGCACACCAAAACAACTGTGACCAGAAGCATTACACTAGCACACATGCCATGAGCCATGAACACTGTTTGAATACTTACCTGATGTATTCCTCATGCTGAGCAACAAGGGAGGGGTGAGGGTGTGGAAAGCGCTCCCTCTCCAGCAACATCTGACGCTGCAGCTGCTCATGAGCTGCAGCCTGCGCTGAGAGCTGCCAACATAATAAATCACATCAGCACACATTCTATTTGCAATGATGCATATTGCAGTGGAAAGTTTTGCTCATGTTTTGAAGAAGCCACTGCTCCTCATCTACAGGTCGAGTGGCTGAAGTAGATTCAGTTCTCTTATTTACAGAAAAGGACCACGGGGCTGTTAGAGATTCTATGTTTTGGAAGTTATTAATTTCATTCTCATTACTGCATTTCGCTGCATAATTCACCCACATCCTTCTCCAAAATTTCATAAAAACTTGAGAAGTTATGGAAATGTTTAAACCCTAGACATGACACATATTTTTCTTTCACTTTTAGGCATAAACTCAGAACAAATGCACATGTGACTCAACCTGGGGTTGGCACATTGAGTAATTCAGCTCACTATGCACTCCATCTTTTCAACACAGATACTGTTGCCGTTGAGTTTAAACATGGCCACCAGTCTTGTAGATGTGAGAGATATACATGCCCCTATTCCAAAACCTGAGCAGGTCAACATTCAGACTGTCTATACACCAGATAAAACTGCCTGGATCAGACCACTTTATTGCATACTTCTGTGGTGTCAGATAGTTATACCTGATGAGCCAGTTGATCCGCATAACCTGGTCCACCACGCCCCAATATGTCTGATGGATGAGGCAATCCTAAAGCAGCCTCCCTGGGTGGAAGAAGGCTTGGCCGAGGATATCCGGTGGCTGCTGAAGCTGGAATGAAACTGAGCAGTGAGCTGCACGAAGCACTCGTCAAAGACATACAAAAACTGACACGATATGCTCCAAGGCTTTGTACACTTATATTTTGCATCAAGTTCACTTTTAGGGCAATGACACACGGAGCGGTTTTCGCCGACTCGGTGCGTAGTTCTATTGCATCAGATGGGATAAAACAGACAAGGAGGTGCTTGCCGAAGGCAGCAGATTTGCCGACTCGGCCTGTCATCTGCAGGCAGTGCAGCGAGCGGTTTGAAGACTTGCTCCACAGATTGAATACATTCTCAGCAGTTTCTGACGTGGCTGCCGAGTCGGCATACAGCATCCTGTGTCATCACAAGGCTGCGTCCGACTCGGCACAACCGCTCTGTGTGTCATTGCCCTTATGCAGAAACATCTGTCACACTGATATGAATAAACTAGCTGTGAGCATTGCTTTAGCAACTGGTAACTCTACCCTGTGTCAGTACCGGCCATAATGAGAGAACAGCATTGAGGTCATGGAAAGAAGTCCCATGGATTGGCCTCATCCTCGTCTGCCTCGAGCTGTTACATTTTCCCATACTCCCCTGCAGTCACCTACTCCTTCCATTCACAAAAACCCTTGGCTTGCAACAGGCAAAACAGCATAAGAGTGGGAAGCAACTCTACAGCCCTTATCTCTGGCAGTGGGATCAACCAAAACGACTATACGTTCTGTTTAGAACACAGATGGCATGGAGGGCAGTGATAACTGCACAACTGTCTGTGTATCTCTGGAGCAGCCACAACAGCAACACTTTGTCACGTCTACAGACATGTATGACTATATGACATTCTGTACTACATGAGACAGACTCTGTCAGAGTAGTGGCTGTCAGATCCGGGCCGGAAGCAGTATCAACTGCGAGACAGTCTAAACGCTGTGTTTTCATGCCATCTGACACCATCTCCCATGTAACACGTCTTCCCCTTACTCAGCCGCTGTGTTTTTGAACCTCACTGTGTAGATTCCATACAACAAACAACCACATTATGACCACTGTGATCTACAACTGTGTATGCAGTAGCACTCTGTATGGGGTACACACACAAACAGTTGTCGTGTTCCAACAGGAGACTCGGAGCGAGATCTGGGGGTGTGCAATGGCAGTGTGCATGAAGATAATACAGTGAAACCTCCACTTGTGGTTTCTTTGGGGAGCAGTGAATCTGAACAGTGCAATGGGGATAATCTTAAATGGATGTAATTCAACAGTTTGTCAGCCTGAGATCACTGAAAACTTAATGGTGAATGAGCAATAACATTAAATTGAGAGAAATTAAATGTATTATAAACACAGAGGCCAGTGATTACATAAAAACAACAGAACTGACAATGCCATATGATCCACAGCACGGTGCCAGTGTGGAGGCCAGGGCTGCTCCTCACAGCTGCTTACAGGGTACAGAGCGCTGCTTTATCTGTATGAAGTATGGGCAGCCTACATGTAACGTTTGATGATTCTCTGAAATATCTGCGACTGGAACAGTCAATTCATTATGCAAACATTATGTTGGACAGTGTCAGTCTCTCGGACATAGCTTTCATAGCGGTCTGATATGTGAAAATGTGTTTGCTGAGCCATTGCCTAGAAGTAGGTTGCATACCCCATGCCTCCACTGCTCCTCGGTGCAGACAACATACAAAACATAGCCTCATCTACTGTTGTGTGCTGGACCATACAAACAGAGTCACTGCCTTGCAACCCACCGATCAAAACTGTTACATTAGGATAAGGACTAGAAGAAAGAAATGACATTACCCATCATGACACTATGCCACCTGAACTGCAATTTGCGCAGGTCTTATCTGGGGTACATCTGACATACATGATGTTTCAGAAACTGGATCCATTTCTATCATTGGATGTGGGCAAGAATGTGATGCCCTTTTGCAAGCTAGAAAGAGTGAAGAAACTCTGCTTGCTACCTGTTTCGTGCTTGGCATACTTTTCAACCCTAACACCCAGAAGATGGAGGCAAGACATTCCTGTTGCTTGCCCTTCAATGGATTTCAAGCCATTAATCCAAGAAGACAGAACTCTTCATAACAATACTGTGAGAACCTCAAATCCTATGTAGAAACAGGCAGTTCAGTATTTGAGACTAGTTGCTGTAGGTAGGCAGGTAGGACTGAGTAAGATCCTCTGTCCCCTACATATATGAGTATTGACACAAACAGACCCAGTTTCCAAAACGCTGTGTGCGGGTACTGACACCGCACAGGAACACCTCCTGCTCGGCCTGCACCACTCACCTGGCAGAGGGAAACCTGCGGTCCCAGATGCGGCAGCTGCGGCCTCTTGCTGTGCCTGAGCCTGCTGGGCCTGCTGACTGGGATGCAAGTGGAGGTGTGTGTGGGAGTGTGCATGTGTATGTGCATGTGTGTGTGCATGATACTCAGGTGAGATGCCAGCCATCTGCAGTCGCACCATGGGATCTGTTGCAAGCGCAAGTCGTTCCGCTGCTTCCAACTGGGCTGCAGCTACTGATCCTGGGTGGGGGTGAGGGTGGGGGCCAGGCGGGCCCACAGGTGGTGGGCCATGCGGACCAGCGGGCCCTGTAGGAATACCTGCAACACCAGTACACACTGATAAGGCTGCACAGTTCAACTCACTTCTTGGAAATTCTTCCATCTTCTCACTATACACTGTGGTCATCCAGCTTCAGTTCCATGCACATTCAAGTGGGGTTTGTGGTGGTCAGAGTGGCAAGGCAGGAAGTATTCTCACACTACTTCCGTTTCCCCTGCCAACTGTCAGTGCACAAAAAGTTCCTTTTCTCAGGGGCCAGTACGACGAGACTAAAGAGTCCTAAGTACTGAGAAAACCCTAATCTGTAAAGGTGGTAGGTAAGTAGGTGGGAACTACTCACCTAGTCTCTCCAGTCGTTCCCGCTCAAGCTGACTGAGAGCTGCCTGGCTTGGTCCTGTAGGAGCAGGGTACAGGCCAAACTGATGCAGTGCTGCCCCCTGTGGGGGACCACCTGGTCCAAGGCCAGTGTACCTGCAACAGAGGCATTGTGTTGTGGCCGCCATGTTGCAATTCAGTACATCTGTAGCTTGGAAAGATGCATACCTCCTGTGGAGCTCAAGCCAGTGTGGGTCAATGGCGCTAGGCATTCGAGGGCCAGCACCAGCAGCAGCGTTCTTCATCAGCTCATCCTTCAGGCGGTCATTCAGTTCTCGTTCCCGTAGTTCACGAATCTCTCTCTCCCGTTTCTCACGCTCCAAGTGCTCCAATTCCAACCTACAATAACAAGTGACACTTCAGCACTTCAAAGCATTTTGCTTTATTTTGCATTCTGTGGCTTTATCAACGACTGTGAACTATATCTGACATGGCCAGCAGCTAGACTCACCTCTCTCTGGCGGTTGCACCATACATGCTGTTGAACTGGTAGTGCAACATGGAGTCAATGCACTGTGGAGGCAGGCCGAGACTTGCACGGGGCAATGTGCCCGGTGAGAACCCCGCATGGGGCCTAGCATATTCACTGCAAATAACACATCACATCTTTAGGCCAGAAACAACTGCAAGCTTTGCCTGAAACAATTATTTTGGACTCCATCCATTGTCCGGGTTCACTGGTTCTATTCCTGTCTTCAAATGAACAGGATACAAAAGAGAACTTTTCTAATGGGGCACTTGGCTGCACTAATCTTATGCCACAGTCAGCAGCACTACCAGGGTCTCACAAGAATAGGTTTTTCATATCCTGTTCACCAGACAACAGAAACAGAACCAATTTCATAAACATGGACTATGGATGAAGTAAAAAAACAAATAGGTTTAAACACAATGTTTCACCACTGTCAAAAAAGTTTTTAAACTTAATTTTGAGCCTCATCTGTCACAAACGGCTTAGGAACAAGCAAAGATCTTGTCTGTCTCTTATGTGATCACTCACTAGAATCATTCAGGGCACACAAACACACACCAGCAGAACACATTTCAAAATATGGAATGAGATGAGCTATATACACCTGTTAGCTACTTGCACATTCTACATTAATTAAGAGACATCATAGTTCTATGTGCAGGACTGCACAGACCATGACGAACCACCTGTTAACAAGTGTGTGATGTAATACATGCGGAAATGTAACATTCATATCTCACACTGCTGACATGAGACAATGCACAGAGATATCCGGAAACTGACTCCGTACTCTCGCCAAAAAGTATGATTAGCCACAGCAGTTAAAGTGATGTGGTACAATTTTTGCATGCACTGACATTGTGATATGGTCTGTAGATGGATAGAGACATGTTGAAGAAATATGCTGTTTCCATCTTCAGGGTTGAAGCACGTAGGGCTTGGTTATATTGGCAGGTTGGATGGAAGGTGGTCACTCAAACTGATACAAGGGAAAGAAATGGGGCATGGCAGAAGCCAATATGCAGAGAACAGAGGAAAACTGCCCTCTTCATGCATACATTATGCCTTAGGGAAATGGAATTATGGGAAAAGACAGACATTTTCAGGGACACAATACTGTATTTCATTATATGAGGAGAAACTGAACTGTGATAAAAGATAACCCAGTTACGGGTCTCTTTGTTTTCATCAGAGGAGGGGGAAAAAACGATCTTTGGGAACTAGGAAAAGACAAGTGATGTCAAGGCTTCAGGAATAGGATTCAAATTCTTATTTTCTGCCTCCTCTTACTAACACATACTTGAATATGATGCTCTGAAGTTTCAGCTACTAGATACTCACATATCCCACGGGATGAACAGGCACCTGTGCTTGTATCTCACAGATTTCAGAATTAAAAGTGTCCTACACTTTGTACAAAAGAAAGATAGCACTGCAGCTAGATATTTCCAAGTTGGAATGTTACAAAAGGTTTAAAATTTTATGGAGACAATTCTTCCATAATCAATGGCCATTCACTCTTCTATGTACATAAATCTGAGTGGCAAATACCTCAGCTGGCGCAGTGCTGGTGTATCAGGGTAACCTTGTCGTGGGGTGAAGCGATCGTATGGAGATGTAATTGTCTCAATAGGACCACGTGATGGAGGCTTTGGACCCTCCGGTTTCTCTGGTGTTGCAATCTTGCGCTGTAACATCATTTAGGTTTATTCAGTTTCACAAGCAGACACAAGACTTATATCTTGGGTTCACCCTTGTACCAGAAGTCAGAATGTGGAACGAGTCAAACATGAGGCACACATACTCGTATTTCAGCAGTACCCCAGCACAGAGAGGTGATATCTGCATAAATCACAACTCACCGCCTGTGCCTGAGCTGCAGCCTTCTCTCTATCTTCACGTTCCTTCTCTGCTTGTTTCCGCAGCCTCTCTTCTCGCTTCCTTGCCAGTTTCGAGTCTGGCACAGGTTTGAATGTCAGATCTGTACGAGTGCATGAATTGAAATCCCCACGATTCCAGTGACGCAAGAAGCTGGAGGCCAGAAAAATGTTCTCTTAATTTTAGCCAATCAAACAAAGTGACTACTGGTTTTTCTAAACCACTCACATTAAAAAGAAAAAGCTCGCTATGAGCTAGTGTTGAGCCCATGTTCAACATCTGTGTCTAAGTAAACAAACAGGTTGTCTCAGGACAAGGGGAACAGAAAACCCATGTGCTCATGTATCAGAGGTGTGATATGAACCTTCCCAAATGCATGAAGAGGTCAAACAGGTCCAACTGCCAGGTGTCCTCTGTTACCCAATTTGACTGCAGTAGGCCTTTTCCTGTGAATATGCATCACAGATCAAGGGCACTGGTTCTCCATGAACTGCCTTAAACAGCAATGACAGTGCATCATCATAAGACAGTACTACATGCTGTTGTCATTATGCAGTCATTATTAATAATAATAATAATAATAATACTCAAGTACATGAAAGTAGGACTACCCATCTTTTCTAAGAGGCAGTATTTGAAACAAACCTCACCTTACATTTGGGCTAATACTGTATTCTTTTGATGCTACAAACACCAACCTATCTAAATGTTTGCTGCTCACCAACTCGCCACTCTAAGAGGTGAGTACTCACATGGCACTCTGACTTCTATGACACTCTGTGTCCTCAATCTTGGGTTCGGGGCTTGGCCCTCTCGGTATGTGGTTCGGACTTGGCACTTCCTCCTCCTCTGGCTGCTGGAGCCCCACCTGTGCATCACTCAAGTCTGCGCTGCCTGTCATGCTGCTCGGCAGACTCGGTGGTTCAGATTTCACTTCATCCGGCATACCTGGAGCCAAGTGTCGTGAAGAATGGTGAAGAGGACCTGAAACATTCATGAGCTGTTCTACCTTCTGTGAAGTATGGCACAGATGTAAGTCACTAAGTACTACGTAAAGAAGCCAACAACACATTTCTCCTTGCTATCCATGGTCTTGCTGGTAACAGGCAATGCCCTCCCTGCATTTATTAAGCACACTGCCACAGAGACTTATTGGGGAGTGGAGATAGCTGCACAGACTAAGGCACTAGACGTCTTCACCTGCTCAAATGTCACTCTAGGCATGGATGTATATTTCTTTTTCTGTGTCTGTGCTCGCCTGCAATGAGCTGATCCCCGCCCATCCAGGATGTCCTATCAACTGTCTGTAAGTGTCATAATTTCAAATTCATTTAGAATGGGTACAGACCGCAGGGATGAGTGGGGTGGGGTGGAGGCTGCACACACACTCTACTGCTTTACCCTTGGGGAAAGAGCCCCTGGATGCCTCAGCCCCATTGCCCTTCTGGTCACTGTGGAGAAGTGAAACATCTTTTGGTCCTGCCTGGAATCAGACTGGAATTCCTAAGCTGCCTAACCTGTAGCATTGTCACTACACAGCCTAAGCTACCTCAGCTGTCCAAGTCCTCAAGCAAGATGTACTGTTATGTTTGAGTACGGTTTACATTGTGTGACATGACGATGGTAACAAGTGACGTTAGTCCTCAGTGTAGGTGAAGGTGGAATTTTCCTTCAGTGACTCTGAAACAAACTGTGAAGCACCAAAACGGTGACATCAGAATTTCCAGAAACAAGGAAACCTGACCAAGTCGTACTAATACAAGGGCTACACTTCCAACAACATATGAACCTGGTCCAGCGAGCTTGTGCTACATCTCTGCCGATGTACAGACCTGGTATGTGAGGCTGTGAGGGACAAGGAGGCTGTAGCTGCAGAGGTGAGTGAGATGCAGGGTGGATCATGCCTGGGGCCAGACCACCTGATGTGTGGGGTGGCTGCTGCTGCTGTTGCATGTTAGCAGCTGCTTGTGCATGAGCTCTGAAATAAATGAGGCAAACCATGTATGCATTTATTGCTAATAGTAAAAATGGTATAGTTCTCCTGTGTCTAAGCACCATGACATGATGGCACATAGGGAAGCATGCAACAGAGGACATGAAAATATTACACTCTTAAGATAAATACATCAAGTAAATTAATCAGTGATAGAATAAGATGGTATCGACACACTTTAAGAATGAATGAAAATGGAATTCCAAAGAAAATTCTGAACGTGAAAACTACAACAGAAATGGTCACGATAAAGATCAAGATGTGAACAGTGGGTTAGCAAAGACACAACGCATAAGGAAGGAAGAACATGGAGAGGCTTCCAAATAAAGTGGAAATGCCAGAAGAAGAACAGTGTTCATGTGCCTTGACACACTTGTATCTGCTACATGAGTCATACCTCAAGGCCTCCAAAGAAGATCCAGGCACTGCAGATGGGGGCAACCCCAGTCCCATGGGGTGGTGACCAATTGGTGGGGGAAGTCCTCCTGGTTGCACCATTAAACTGGGATGATGATGAGAACTTGGTGGGTTACTGCTTGACCCCACGCTACTGCCCTGCTTTGAATGATGACTGTGACTCTGGTGGTGCTGATGACTTGATGATCCGCCATGATGATTTCTGCTAGGTGGTGGTGCTCCAGGAGCTAATGCAAGTGGCATGTTCAATGCCGGAGGCATTATCAAAGGATTGGTTGGGGACAACCGTTCACCAGTTGTCGTCTGATGATGGTGCTGGTGATGGTGACTGTGAGAGTGGTGATGGGAATGGTGGTGATTGCCTCCGTGATTTGTAGATGGAAGCGAGATTGAGGTCGAGGCAGAGGTTGTGGAAGAGAGAGTTGCAGAAACATGACAAGAGGGGCTGGAGGCTCTAGTGCCCCCAGAGTTGGTTTTGCCCCCAGTGTTGATCTTGTGCTGAACTGAGGCTGAACTTGAGGATGTGGTAGAGTGAGAAATCGTCACTGAGTGGTTCAGTGGCTGGTGATGACTCGACTGCTTCTCTGTTGTCATTTGGTGGTGGACAGAGGAGTGATGGTGATGAGTTGTGGTCAGTTCCTGTGTTGTGTGATGATGTCGCTCTGAACTGGCAACCGATGCATTTCCACTGCCGTCGGTCTCAGAAGAAGTAGCAGAGATTTCTCTACGAGTGGTGACCGATGATGAATGCGATGAGTGGTGAGAAGTATGTAACGATGTGGTTGTACTTTCCATGGATGCTGTTGAAGATCTAGTCTCTGACTTTGCCTGCTCATGAGTTGTTCTGTGACTGGATGATGTGGGTGGAGTTGGCAGTGCAGGGGCAGGGGGCGTAGAATGATGGGGAGGAGGCACGGGATGGGGCTGGGGCATAGGCGGACCGTATGAGTACGGGAATGGGTACCCATATGCTGCGTATGGGTGGTGGGGATGGTACGGGTTATGATGAACAGCAGCTGCATGAACGGCTGCGAACAGGGAGTGATGAATCAAGGGGTGATGAGGATGATGAGGATGTAATGCAGGGTGAGCTCCAGGAGGCCCTATGAAGGGTGAGGAGTGGGGATGAGGTGTTGGATGCGGATGTGGAGTCGGATGAGGATGACCAGGAGATACACGGCTTAGTGGAGAGACCTGCTGAGAAGGGTGCATGACGGGCTGAGGAATTGAAGTTGGCCCACTTGATAAAGATGTGGGAGTCAGTCGAGCAGTCGTGGGTGATGGAGAGATGAGGTTGGCAGCACTGTGTGATACTGGAGGTTGTGAGGTTGGGGGAGGCACTGGTGGGGTACTGGATGAGATTCTGGTCAAGGGCGGAGTAGCTGTGCCAATGGCTGCAGAGTTGTTTGGAGCGTTATGTATTTCTGTGGGAGGCTGAGATGATGCTGTCTGTTTGGGAGGAGGGGACTTTGGCGTACCTGCAGGGAGATTTGACCCTGATGCACTGACGGAACTACCAGCTGATAAATAATTCTCGGGCTCCTTTTTTATGTTATCGATTGAAGGCCCCAGGAAATTTGTGTTGGCATTGCCTGAAGATGGTCTCGGGATTTCTGCTCCTGAGGGGTGGTTTGCTGGTGGCACAGATCCAGAATTCAAGTTGCTGCTTGGCAGTGGCTGTGTGGCAGAGGTATTTGGTGCAGAATATCCTGGGATCTTCACCTCCTTCAGTGACTGCAATGGGTCAGAAGGTGGCATTCCTTGGTCTGCAGGGGCAATTATCTCTTGTTTGATCTTCAGATTCTGGGGCTCACTCTGCTGCCCCACACTGGCACCAGTAGGGGTGGAGCTGGGGGGAAGATTTGGAACATGAAGTACACCCATACTCTTCTCACCTCCCACCACCCTCTGGTGGTGATGGTATGGAGATCCAGGCATGTAGCTGTACTGATGTGGTGGTTGAACTGCAGGGGGTCCCTGATGCTGAAGAGCCAATGGTTGAGAAGAATTAGGAATAGACACAGGTGGCATCTGTAGGGACTGTGATGACTTTGAGTCCCTTTCCCGATCTTCCTCGCTGTAGCTTCCACCTGACATCTGCGACAGAGACTTCTCAAGACCACCATTTGGAAGCTGCTGGATGTCCACTGACTGCTGCCGAACATCTGATGGAGGCCCTGGCCGCATGTCACACAAAGATTGTCTGCTATCTGATCCCTGTCCTCCTCCTCCTCCTCCTCCTCGAATATCTTGAATCTGGCGAATATCAGTCGACTGTCGCATATCTGATATCTGCTGTCTGAGGTCAGGCATGTGCCTCATGTCTGAAGACTGGTTCACTCGAATATCGGTGGTCGGTCTGATAATGGAGGAGTGCCCATTCCCTGAGCCCAGATGGGGGTGGTGGCTTGGGACCTGCAGAATGGGGGAACAAGAGCGGCCTGAGTGATGGGGCAGAGAGATGCTGGGAGGCATCTGCATCATTGAAGCCTGTATCTGCATAGGTGACAGCTCTGAAGACAAAGACACAGGTGGAGACAGCTGCTGAGACCCTGCACAGAGCTCCATGGGGCTAGCCTGCTGCTCCCTCAGCACACCTGGCTCCAGCTTAATATTCTGGTTACTGGTCCCAATGATAGGCCCCATCTGATTAGAAAGACCCATCAACTGCTGTGAGTTCTGTGCTTGTGCTTCTTCCTTCAAGAGGAGACCCCCAGAAGGCAATGGCATCTGCACATTGGAAAGTTCATCATTGCTGCTCTCCATTTCCTCCTTCACCGTCACTTTCATCATCGGCGGTACGGAACTCATCTCATCACTCGGTTTCATGCCCAACGACATTCCCATCGGATCCTTCTCCCTTCTGTCTAACGCCTCTTGCTGAAGTTTCAAGGTGATCCGTGTTCCTTCATCTTCAAATTTCAATTCAACATTTGTCTTCTCCAAATTTTCACTCTGTAGCGACACTGGCTGTGACACATACGACATCTGACCAGGAGGGAACTTCTCTAGAATGCCGCCTTTTGAGTCAGACAACAGCTTCTCATCACCAACTTTCTTGGTCACACTGTTCTCTTCCATGCTGCTTAAGTTAGGAACAGGTACTTTGAGACCCACCAATGGAATAGAGGTTGAGATATTTGAAGCCCCACCCGACGACGAAGTGCCAATACTTTGTGTTGTGCCCCTCACAGACAGCGATGCTTCAGAGTTAATAGCCTTGAAGTTGCCACCACCCATACTGTTGATTATAACGATGGGCGTGGGTCCTTGCGACTGGCTTTCTCCACACAGGTTCGGTAGCAAGCCCACAGCTGTGTCCACTTTGTCCGATGGTATGGACACATTACTGGAGGGTGGTGGATTATCAAATGCTGGAACTGGAAGAGCTGTCACAGGAGTAGAAGGAACAGAAGCCACCAATGGGGAAGCATCCAAACTTCCAGTTGCAGAGTTTGGTGTTGGAATTGAAATGGTGTTTGGTGTGATGGTTTCCCCACTAGTTTCTGTTTCTGCTTCATTATTGTCAACATCATCCACCATGGAGCCACTGTCTGTAGTGAGACTCTCTGCTGGACTCTATAAAGAAAGTCATTCAAGCCATAAAACATATGAACAATCCCTCTGCTGCAATCCTGACATACCTACGCACTGCTACATCCCACAACTCAACAAACTTGCACTATGACATAAGGACTCTGCAATGAAACTTTGATTCATCTGCTTTAAAGAAGAGATATGCCCACTCACATCTGCCCTGTCGTTTCTCTTTCTCTTGAACAGTGATACCTCCTTATCTTCCTCATTTTCAAGTTCCACTTGGCTCCTCTTTCGGCCTTTGTTGGGTGTCTCCGGCTTTGACAACTGACAACAGTACAAAAGCACCACATCACTTTACAAACACTGCACTGTGTATGAATCATATAACGCTGTACCACAATCAAAGGTTCTGGTGCAAAAATGACATACATCCACTTCTATAAACATGCATCAAAGAAGTAAGAGCCATTTGTATTTTGTAAGATTTGAGGTTTTCACAGTGGTGATCATGAAGAAAGCAGTCTTCTGGGACGTGGCATCGTGCAGATGTACATCTACACGGTGCCACGTCCCAGAAGACTGCTTTCTTCATTTGTATTTTGTTTAATATAATGGAAACAGAAAACCCTTTACACAATCTCCCTTGAGCTATGATTATCTCTTGCTGAACCATTCAGTTTTTGTTATGTGCTACATACATCTAAACTCATACACGTGACACCTCCTGTGTCTATTTCCTCCTTTTACTTTTAACACTTGTTAACCACAGGGATTTTGGGGACATTATAATAAGAGAGAGACTGCAACTGATATGTAAACTTTTGGACTTCCCTAACAATGAAACGACCAATAATTTGGAAGGACCAAAAAAAACCCCCAGTAAATTCACATTAAAAATAACACTTCAGGTGCTGTATCACCCAAACAAGGACATTTCAACCGATGAATCCCTAACCTAATATACAAACAAACTAACATGTCTTCGCCTTACTTCTCACACTGAGTCTTCCTGGGCAGCAGCAGTCTGAGCGCCTACACTCTAATGTGATGACAACTGTGTGAGGGAAGACAATGGGTAGTGCTCGTGGCAGTGGATGGAAGAACTACAGCACAGCAGGCGAATGTTTGTGAATCTAAACCTGGGTTCTGAATGACGTTACAAAAAGTGTACATTTCCTGACATTGCTGCCAGCCAGATGAGAATTCTGAATGCTTGCAGACTGGGTGACTGGAATCATTCTGTATTTAATAAAGAAAGCTGATTTTACCTGAAGTGAAAGGCCTAATTTGCTTATCTATCAGACTGTGTTACATAGAGGTAGAGCACTGCTCTGCGCTCTCAAGGTCAAGCATACTGACCTTCTTCTTATTCTTGTCACCAGGCGAGGACGCATTACTGGCTGGAGACTTGCATGTTTTCTTGTCCATTTCACTCTCTGGCGTGTCTGTACCACTGCCACGTTTGGGGCGGTTACGTGCATTCTGCAACATGCATGTAAGTACAGGTAACTCGCCATAACAAGAAGCACTATAAAACCTCACACAAGCCCAAGCCGAAGAGGACTGAGCACACACATTATGGTCTGTCCCATTCTTTCTGCAGGAAAAAAATTCACTTTTGAACATGGCAGGTAACACGAGTGGTGAGTGTGATAGTGAACTCCAGCAGGAGAGTATCTTGAAGTTTTAATCTGAAGAATTACATGGGTACATCAAACTGCAGTAGAGTGATTATGCGCCTGTTAGCTCAGGTGACATGCACACAGAGGCAGCAGCACACTGTTGCTGCAATGTCACCTGTACCTCTATTGTATTGCTGTGCATCAGTTTTTATGTATTTGATGGGAGACTGAAAAGATTATGCAGCCAGAGCCATGCACCAGCACACTTGGTTGAGGCAGCACGTTACGAGCTGGAGGGTCACAGGTTTGATTCTTGATAAGGTCACCGGATTTTTCAACTGACCTAATCCTTCCATTTGCACTATGGCCCTGGGGTCGACTCAGCCTCTAACAGAAATGAGTATCAGGAATCTTCCTGGGGGTAAAGTGTGGCCAGTGCATAAGATTTACAACCTCACCAACATTTGTGAGTCGACTGTCTAGAAAATGTGGGAGCCTCAACATCTCACAACCCTATGGGCCTCCACGGCCTGTCACAGCTTGTTTCACAGGAATTGCATGTAAACTGAACAGATCCCTCACATTAGCTACCTGTGGTGACTTGGTCCACGCAGTTCCACTCGCTACAGCCATGTCACAGCAAAGCAGCCTCTTCATGGTGGAGGCTGCCCATGAGGTATATTTGTGGTGAACAAAATGAGACAATGGGGCAGGCTTTCCTGTCAAATATTATTCGACCGATGCTCCACTCATGTATCAATGCATCTGAGTGGCCAGACCAGGCAGTACCTTAGTCCTCTACTGGACACTGGCCAGTAGTCACAATGCTTCTATTTAACGTTTACTTCACAATACTGTCAGTATCTAGAATACGCTGTGTTGTATGGGAGGAGAACTGATAAACTGGAGAGGAATGAGAAGGGAAGGGCTATGGCCCAATCTGGGTAGCATCCCTGCCTCTGCAGGGAAGGAGGAAAACTATGAAAGCGTCAGTCAGGAGAAGCTTCAAGCAAGCACTTCTTGAATACAATTCCTGAACATTACTTCTACACCAAGTGGCTTAGTCTGTATTCAACTGAAAATTTTAATTTTCACCGACATTCTTCTGATTAGATATTTACAAAATAACAACTTCTGAAATATGTGCATACCATAACAATTCTGGTGTGATCATTCATTTCTGTTTAATTATCTCCAAAACTGTGAATTCAGAAAACTGTATTGGAATAAAATGTGTTTCACTTTTCCCCACAACTTCTGTTCAAAATATTTTTTCTTCTCATGAATATCTAACGATGCAACCACAAGTTAAGTTCTACACGTGAGCAAAAGTGCATACTACTGCTGCCCAAGTTTTAACAAGTACTGGATGGATTCACAAATTCCATTTAAACTCCCCAATATCAGACATCATGAAAAACTGTTCAGCAGTTCTCAAATTGTTTCATGTGTAGATTTTAAAACGTTTCACAGACCTGCAAATGTGCTACGAAGAGCCATGCATGTCTGCATATTTGCAGCAGTAATAGAGGCAGGGTGGCAGGGTGGCACTGTGAAAATCCTTTTCAGGCAAACACTGAAAAAAATCCTATTTATATCAACCTGTGTGATCAAGGATGTGAAGCACTCAACAGCAGACAGCTTTGTGTGCTGCACTGCCATGCCTGAATTAACGAACAGAAAGAACAGATAACTAACCTGCTCTTTGGTTCTGGTACGAGTCCTCATCCTGCCTGGAGATTCATCAGGGGAGTCTGTCTGAACAGGTCTGAAGAGATATGGCGTATCACCACGTGTATTGTTACCAGCTGCATTAACAGGAGGGAGTTCCCCGTACTTCTTGCAATAAGCCTGGCAGTCAGAGCACAGCAGCGTCCGCCGATCCTTTCCAGACGGCTGCCAGTCACGTGAATCTGCACAAAAAGCAAGTGGTCTATTGTAGAGTAATGTTCCAGCAGTAATCATGCCATCAAGCTTATGGCACACAGCGACCAGCACAATGACTTCCCATCGTATGGCTAACATTAGGTGGAGACAGTGACAAAACTAGTGTAGCAGTACCACTCTTGCACTCAAATATTTGTTTCAAAACAATGAAGAAGAGTTCCCATGAAAAGTCTGAACTCTTTTACTCAAAAGTATGAAGTTCCCTACAACCAAATGGCCCCCTTAAAAAACAGCAAGTTGTCATGAAGTCTAGAAAGTTCCCTTTAAAATATGGCTATCTCCCAACTTACAGAAGTGCAGCACTTGGATTTCACATTTATGTGATGTTATACAAACTTCTTTTAGAGACAACTATAAAAAACAGTGGAAACTGTCAAAAACAAAAACTGGGAATGTATGTGACTAGAATAAATGGCATTAAACTTAGCTTAATTACCCAACTTTCAGGGACTGAAAAAAGGGGAGGATTACCAAAAATTTCAATTTCTGTGACTGACTTTAGGAATGAAACCTTTAGGCAAGTGCTGGAATGTCTGCTTGAGAAAGACACTTAACTGGCATTGTGGGTTTACTCAAAAACAATGGACAGGAAAGTCCACAAGACTATTAACATACTTGTAGTGAAGCAGTGGTAACACCTATACGCGTGGTCCCGTGAATCTGAATCATCCTCCGAGTTCTCGTCTTCACTGCCAGAACTGCCATCACCTGTAAACCACAGCATCACATACCATTACAACCACTGCACACTGTCTAAAACATCTCTGAGGGTACGTCACAGAGCAGGCAACCTTATGAAAAGGAAGTCCTCCGTGTTCAACAGGATCTCCGGTATGGCGATTCTGGTTCTCATCGTGTCGCAAACAGAATCCAGTATCTTTCTAATGACAGCATAATGACCTACATCACTATCTCGTGACAATGCAACTAAATGAAATTTTTTACACAAAATAAATAACATTTCTCAAACTGTGTAGTCTGTAAGAATTTAAGCTTGCAGTAAAAATGACCTAACTAATCAAGCCTTATAGGTTCCTTCACATTTACTTCCTGCTCTCATTACAGTTCTGGCTTCAATCTGCTCTTAAAATAAGAAGCAACTACATTAATGCAAGATTTTCAGTTCTCGTGTTGGTGATTACGCAGATAACTGTCTCATGAGATGTGACACCATACAGTCTGGTAGATGGCACCAACATTCTGTAGAATCCTGCTGTCTCCATCTTTGGCGATGAAGCATACACTAAATATGGGGGGGGGGATGGTTCAATATAGGGCCATGGAAAACTAGAGCCAGAGCTCTGAGTGAACAAATAGGACAAAGGGGAACAGTGTCAAGAACAATGGGCCTTTAAAGGGTCTTTTCTGGCTTAGTGTGGAGATGGAGACAGTAGGTTTCTATGAAATGCTGGTAACGCTCTACCAGGCCACATGGCACTACACCCCAAAACATGGTAATCTACTTCTGCCAGCACAAGTATAGATACTATATCCAACAACTAAACATCCACACTATAACACTGGCCAGGTGGTAAGTGGGCTCATGTGATTACATGAGTCTGTAGTTTTGTGTCACTTGCTTGGAATGAGTTTGTCTTGTGCCTGCCGTAACTGACTCACTGGCAGTCTTGTATTATCTATTCATCAACACATGGACAATAAATAGCTAGAACAGAAACTGACATTAAAAGTTTCCTTGATACTGGAGACAAATGCTATCGATATTTACAAAATGTTACAAGGAGCTTACACAGACAGAACACAGATCTCTGTGCATGTAGAGCAACTTCAACAGATTGAAAGGACGGCATTACAGATGCCAAGACATCTGGTGATCTAATAACTTCAGGAAATGATTCAAAGTTGGTGAAACAAGACTGTGTCCCCATTCTCTGAGCAAATTACAAGTGCGGAAGAAGTGCGCCACTTGCAGGACCCGTTAAGGGACAGGACAATTTGCGTGAGGGATCACTGAGTTACAAAGCTCAATGACAAAGACACATGGAGTAGAAACATTCACCTGTCCAGATGTGGCAAACAAAACACATGGAGCCCCAAGAACAATCAGACTTACCGGCCACAGTGCTTTTCTTGAACTTCAGGTACCAACTCATAACACACATTACTCAAAGGAATAAAGGAGGCTAGTGATTTGGGGAATATCTATTATGACAGATGACACAATACAGGATCCAATGTGAATTAAACCAGTCAGTATAGGGACTAAACTATAGGCTGGCTGACCACTGAATTGGGGTTCGACTATCGGCAGAGATTTTTCTCTTCATCACCGTGTCCAGACCACTTCTGGGGCTTATCCAGCCTCTCAGCCAATTGGTACCTGAGGCTCTAATCACAGCAGTAAAGTGGCCACAGAACTATGGAAACTACTGGCCCTCATCAAGTACTGAAGGCTAAGGAAGCTGGACCCACAGGGGGCACAGTCACAGACCTTCAACTCTTGCAGGGTCAAAAAGAATTTTGAAGTTTTCCACTCCTTTAGGCCTGGCCACTTGACAAACAACAGCACCAAAATTAAGTAAAGCTAAACCTCAAAAGTTCATCTTCTTGGTTATGATGGCCTCTAGTCCACTGGAGTACATGGCATCACAGCCAGAAGATCAAACTCTTCAGAATCACTACTGTGAGACACAGCACTGTTTAACTAAGCACCACACCACAAAGGCATATTGGAGCTCATACTTATCCTCAGTACTAGCTGGAGTGACTTCAAGTCTAGAAAACCAATATTAACGGTCATGGGGATCCATTGCACTGACCATGTGACCTCTATCCGGCTAAAATTGGCGCGAACTTCACTGACAAGAGGCAGTTGCTTGGTTGGTATAGTTTGCTTGCAGACTAAAACCATGGAGTACTAGAGGGAGTGAGTGGTCAGATGAATGACCTGGCCAGTTCACAGTGGACAAAGAGTGTCCATTGCATAGGATGCTGGGTGAGTACCACAGGCCAGTCTGGACACTGCAATGATGATGACAAAACCCCTGCTCCTGCCGAAATAAAACTTGATGCCCAGCACACAGCCAGTCGTTATACTAACAACCCATACTCAATTTAAACAGAATCTGTTTAATTTTAAAAGTGTCAGACTCAATGTGAGAGCATGAAAGGGCTAGTAATGGACCTTACATGTACTGAAGTGGATCCACAAGCATGGAACACACTTTCTTACCCTCTTGAAGCCTTCATTTTTGAGTACAGTACAAAGACTGACGATAAAATTTAGGACAGACACCATTACTCTCAGACCACGTGAACAGCTCATGCAGGGGTGTTAGAATTCTCACTATTCTACAAAGGGAACATGGAATTGGTTCAGGCATCCGGGCAATGACTGCCGCTGCCACATAGGCAAGACATTTGTAACTATGTCATCTGCTCTGACGTTAAATTGAAAGTAAGTCTGTCATGATGTTCTGTGCTCTGGAACTTTGTGAGATCATAAGCTACTCTCAACATTAGGCTCCAAGGGATTACTTCCATACCTGCAAAATTTAATGGGAAAATGTGACAAATCGAAGTTCTGGCTACAGTTTCCACTGATGTATTTACACACTACAGCCCTTGAGCAATACTCTGAAAGCACGACGTTGGTGAATATGTGCACAGTGAACTTGAGAAGTTCTAAAAAGAAAGCTTGACAAAATAAGCATAATAATGATAGTGTACGTGTGCCCTTTCAGCAAAGATCAGTGTAAGAGTGACTGAAAGACTGCCACTTCGGCACCTACCGTGACCAAACAAGATTAGTTTTGCATTTGTTTTCCAAGAAACTGATGTGTTTGGCAAACCTACGTACATTACGACAAGCATTCCCACTGCTCAGATCATATATCGCTAAAGTCCCTCAACAGCTCACTGTATTTTTTTAGACACCTGCCTTCCCATAAATGCTGACTATAGTATCCCAGGCCAACAGATTAGGAACGAACATCTTTTCACAGCTGAAATAGCGAAGAAAGCACTGTAGCCATACCTTCCCATCATGTTTCATGAACTTACCATGTTCCTTGGGGTTGGGGGAAGGTCTAGATGATCCCACAGCTGCAAAACAAAAAGAATAACATCCAAACTGGCACTCTGGGGGTGACACATTAGTCAGAAAGCAAAGCATGTATTATGGAATGCAACTCATTCATTTAGTCACCAAAACCATAGTCATTTCACAAGCAGATGGAATATCTTGGCAACATTAACAAACTGCCAATTTCTGTCTCAAAGAACGAGATGTTCTGACATTTAAACAAAGTGAGAAGGCAAGGAGCAAATACTGGATGTGGCCCAGAGGGGGGAATTAGCACGTCTTCTCGTTATCGTTCCCAATTTATACTGCCAATGGACAACGAGATTCCTATTTCTTTTGCTTCCCATGATCCTTACTCTCTGGTTTCTTGTCAGGTCTTCCCTCTCTTTCACACATCTGCCAGTATCCAGATGATGCTTTCTATTCATGGTCTTCCTGAATGTTTCTTGCCTTTAAATTCTAATTCTACATCCTTCTCAGTAACCTTCAGTCTGTTTACATGGCCAACCCACTGCAAATGCTTCTCTTGTAACTCTATATACATTCTTTGGGATTTATTTGTTTCACAATACTCGCTCTACAATTTGATACAAATCAGAACTGCTTCATATATGTCCGTCCATTGATCTCTACTTCGATTTTTCCAGCTCAGCTCCACATAATTCTGCCGGTCTGTTCAACCACTGTCACTAACTTTTAATGTCACATCTGCATCTAGGCACTTCAAAATCCTTGCAGTCACCTTCACCTGACGAATGTAACTCATTCGGGTACATGATGCAGTGAAGTCTGGTAGATGCTTAAAGACATTTCCATTGAACCTGCCTTCCCCCTTCAAGATAACAGTCAGCAGGTTCCTCCAAAATGCTGCTGAATATCTACCATGCTACATAGCAGCATATGCCAGAAGACTGCACTCTTAATATACAATGGTAACTTTATAATTAGCATACAGTGACAAGAGGGTCAAGTATTTCACAACAATTTGACCATAATCATTTGTAACTTCTTCACTGAGGTCTTACACTTCAGGAAATGCAATACAACTCACCTACACAACCCACACTTACCCTATACATGAGACCAACTCCTCACCCTGCAGGGTATAAACAAGTTAATTTCCTATCTTCCTATCTGTTCACAATCACATACTGGTACATATTGCACAGCTCCTCACAGTGCGTAATCATCTGAAGCATCAAATGCAGCTAAATATTTAAACATTCAGTTCCTGGATTGCAGAAACTGCACTTCATCCTGCTATGCTTTAACAGGTGACTGCCATGTTGTCTGGCGCATTAACATTACCATTTATTTGTAAGAATAACACCCAAAGAGAAAGTACAGAATTTTCCTCAGAGAAGTCCAAAAGGTTACACTTTTGGGTTTACCTTGGGTTCCATTTTGAAAAAAGGGTACTTGCTTAATAGCAGGTAACTTCACGCATGTACTGCCACACTGAAGTTTCCAACTGTTCAAGTTCATGGTAGAGAAGAACAAAGCCTAACCTTGTTGTGTTTTCATGCCTATTTTTTTAACAAACTATAACCTTTTCCAAATGGAACCAAAGGCCAAATAACTTCTAAGGTTGGCAGCACTAACATAGTGGGCGATATGGGGGTAAATTTCAGTTCCCTGGGTCACCCATTAATACGTAAAAGCACAAAGACCAACCAGCTGAGGATGTTCAGGTTCACTGTGAGAATTACATGAAATACATAAATACATTGTGTGTGCAAAGTGCAGCATTACTGGAATGTTAAAACATGTGGTACATATGTTTACCGCTGTACTTTAAAGAGTTAAATTATTGCAGCCAGAAGCTGGACAAATGGTGCAGACAAGAAATTAGCAATATCAAGGTGGTGGGATGAACATTATGATGATCCTGTTAAGAGTAACCAGTTTCCTATCTGCTTATGAAGTGAAATATTAGTGTTAAGCACCTGACCCAGCCCAATATGCAGAAGGAAGTCTTTGCCCTGCAACTGAAACATTCATTGCCATTTTGCTTATTATGACAGCAGACATGAGAGTCCATCGCTTAACAACTCTACACGGCGTCACTAAACGTTGCACGCAATACTTCACACTCCCATTTCGTACAGTGAAACCCCATTTACAGTTTCTTTGGGGACCAGTGGATTGGCATGCAAATCTGCAGAGACTCTTAAATGCACAAACTTTAAATCAAGACACATTAATCATGCTTTCCACCATACTGGAGAGGTCTGGTTTAAATTCTGGTCCCGTGAATGAATACCAGTGCCTCCTGGCAGATAGGATAACCTTATACAAAAACATAATCCCTGCCTTTCCAATTATTCACTCAATGTTTCCAGGGAAACGAGATGGTGTAACACAATTCTGTCTTCAAAAAGCACGCATATATTGGCATGGTATGTGACTGGTCAGAATTTTCGTGCACTCTGCTCCACAGGAGCCCATGTCTAATGCTTTCAGGCCTGACCCACAGCATTTACCACAGCTGTTCCGTGTCCTGACGTACACTGCAGCTGGACACACCATGTGGTCAACCTTACTCCCACTGTGAGACCTATACACCCACCACACTCAACCTGAAGATGTTTATTACACTACGCAACGAAACACTGGCAATGACTTCAACACATGAAGTGGCTACACTGGGAAGTTGAAATTACACAAGAATTCTACATGACATGTTTGAAGTATTATGAGACCAACTAATGGAACATACATTATTATAAGTTTCATGAAATCAGAGATGGGACAGCTCTGTAGGTATAGTGACGGGCTATGGCCCGGGTTCAATTCCTGGCAGTGCAAGATTTTTCTTTTCTCCACGGCATCCAGATTGGCTCTGGGGCCCATGTAGCCTCCTACCCAATCGATATAAGGAGCTCTTTCCTGGGAGGGGGGGGGTTGTAAAGCAACAAGGGCTGAGGTCAGCAATGGTGGAGCTGTACCTTCACTCCCCTATATGTCTCCACAGCACAGTGTTTAATTAATTAGGCAGAGGGAAATTTTATCATTTTCTTTTATCATGTCATGATATCTGTAATGACTATTGCACCAGACAGAGCTGTTTTCATTTATTACAGTATAAGTAAAACGAGGACGGCTGATCTTCTGAGCCAGTAGTTACACAGTCACCTCGACAACCCATCTGACTTCATGCATGGTGCCTAGACACAACTGAAGCATCCAAACTCCACCACTGTCACAAATGGAAGCTGTGTGCTTTAGGGCATGATCCCATACTTGGGTGGAGCCACTGAGGGGCACCAAAAAAAAAAAACCAGAATCTGAACCAAGGTCCTCCAGGCATCACGTAATTTAGTCTGACTCAACTACCTGAACACCATGTTGCAACGGGACAGGTCTCACTTGTGGCAGTGAGGCGACATGTTCCTACCATATGGCATATGGTGCTCTCAACTGTGATTTCAATTGCAGGGAAAATCCCTTGCCAGGCAGAGCAACTCACACCCAGAGTGGCGATTCAAATACCTGCTGGCGAGTTGGCATCCGCTTCCTTTGGCTGACCACCCCTTGTGTTGCGTGTGTTGCGAATACGACGCAGAGACTGCTGCCTCCTGTTCCGGCGATGAGGACGGTTGTTGTTGGCACCAGGAGTCTTTTTCCATAAATAATAAAATTCGACCAACTCGGGCTGAAATGCAGACATCACTGGTGTTTCAGGTTTTGTTTTCATGAGACCTTCTGAGCACATCACATCTTGTTAACTTGTCAATAATTTATAATTTCCATACATAATTTTCAGTACAGTCCTGCCAACATTTTGACTTTCATGTAAGCGTTCGGAACTGCTGTACTGACACAGCACTGGTAAAAAGTCACATGTCTGCTAGGTGCAGTGCAAAATGCATATATTACTCATGAGCTCTATTCTATCACAATATTCCTGGTTGTGCTCTGAACACTTGAGCTTGCAACTGTTCGTACTGGTGTCTGATGTTCAAATGAAGATTTGACAACAGTGCTACATTATTGCCCATGATATGTCACATGCAGGAGGGAGCTTGGATCATCAAATCTTGGTGGGGTTATAGTACTCATTTTGAACTACATTACAACATAACCTCTAATGTCATCACTTTCATCAGAGCTATGCTTTGCTGCTTGTTTGCTAAGTTTCCTCTTCAACCCTGAAGACTAAAGTAGTATGTTTATCCAAAATATGAATCTTCATAAGCTTCTACCAAACTATACAGCGTCACTTCTCAGAAGACAGTACTCTTCATAGTCACTGCTGTGAGAACCTAGACTGACCATGTTCTGGCTAAATGTTTACTCACCGTATCTTTGTGTGCCAAAAGGTCCTTCCGGATTCTGAAGAAATTCTTTCCAAACTGACGAAGACCTTTCACAAACCGTTTCTGCAAGAGATTTGTGTCACTTGTATTCTGATGAAGCCATCACTGTAGGATCAACATACAGCAGAAATCCCGAGTTCAATGCTAACAAACAAGTGTTGTGCTTACCGTCTCCTCCTCAGTCCACTTTTTATCGATTCCTTTAGGGACTGGACATTTCACCAAGGCCTGGAGGGCTTTGCCAGGGTCATACCCAGAATCGTGCAGCTGGAACAAAGTACACAGCCTAATTCACTTCCCAGTAGGCAGACCCAGTCATCAGTTTCATTAAAAATGTTTATCTAGGGGAGCTTTGTGAAACCTGTATTCTGTGTTTTATCAATACCAGATGTTATCATTGGCTGTATGTGAAGGGAATTCCTTATTATTTATGCTTTAAGGATGGCATCATTAACCTTTAAGAGACAGCCCTTTAAATTCCGGTAATGGCTACGGGACTGATTTAATTTAAATGCCCGCGATTATAAAGCAATAAAAATTGTAATCATTTACTAAAATTGCTATGATTTCTACAATTTTTGTGATAAACGAACCAAATAAACGCTGCTTTTTTCTAGAAAGAATACAGAATCAGATATTGTAATTTACAGACTTTATAAAATGTGTAAAAATTTTTAGACTGATTCCAACAAAAGAATTCCCCAATTTGTCATCTGTCTACAGGAATTCATACAGTTCTTGCAAGTATGAATGCAGCAGATGTGGCAACACAGCAGACGCTAATGTAGCCGAGGTTTTGTCTCGCATTTCCAATGTCTAGTCATGTATGTTCTTTTGGCATGCAGAGATGTGGGCGAGTATCTATTCATTTATAAGAACCCTGATTGTTTATTATCGCTTATACCTACACAACAAGCTCTCTGTTCTCACACTGCTGGAGTTAGATTATAAGAACTTTCAAGGTTAGCATCCTTATACCACAGCCAAGCAGTGTCAAAGTTAGCATTCTGCGAAGTCGTGAACCAACCATTGCGTAGTCTCGTAGGGAAGACTCGGACATATTTCAGCTCATAAATGACTCCGAATCAGATTGTTGTACCGATAATTCTGAGAGTGGCGTTGAGGAAAGTGAATCAGAAATTGATTTCGACAAAGAACCATCATCTTGGTCGGCAACCTGGGGACCACCACACCAGCATGGCAAGAGGAGTGTGAATAATTATTCAGGTGGAGCTGTGGGCAAACTGTGGCAAACAGTTATAGCATCTGTCGTCAAACCTGGAAATGGGCAAATAAACTATTTTTCCATCTCCTGGATCTGAACAGTTACATCCTGTTGTCACACAGAGAATTTCTTCTCGCTCTTGTGCGGAACATGCTGGAAGGGGTCCACCTCGCCATCAACGGCCCAGGGGTCGAACCCCTGCCGTTTCATCGGAGATATCTCGATTAGAGGAGGCCAAACCACATCACTGGCTGACTTCCTCTACTTCGCAATTGAGGTGTCGTGTGTGCTTTTCATGTGGGAAACGAAGAATCGTCCGGACAAAGTGCGTGAAGTGTGATGTCGGACTCTGGATTTCCGGATGTTTCCAAGAATTTCACACGAAGGCAACATTCCGTTAGATGACGCAGGAGGGAAGACAGACAACTTATAAAGCTGGTGTCCAAAAATCATGTAAGTAGAAGAAGAATTTATACTAAAAATTATATTTAAAAAAAGGTGTGCACACGCGTGGACTGCATAATGACATATGTGGTCATTTTGTGACCCAACATGTCGTCTTTAGGCTTTAAAAGGTTAATGCAGTTTGTTGAGGCACTATGCTACACACTGGAAAGCCACTGGTTCAATTCCTGATGAGGCTACTGTATTTTCCAATTGACCTAACCCTTCCAGCCACACTATGGCCCTGGGGTCCACTCAGCCTCTAACAGAAATGAATACCAACAATCATCCTGGGGGTAAAGGGCAGCTGGTGCATAAGGCTGACAACCTCACCACCATCTGTAAGGTCTAGAAAATGTGGAAGCCTTGATGTCTCACACCTTATGGGCCTCCACGGCCTGTTACAGGGATAGCTTTACCTTTCTTTTCTATCTTTAATCCACACTAAACAAAAGGATCTGGAAAGATCATTTATAACCTAATTTGAGACAGTAGCCCAGCATTTTCCTGGAGAGATCACGAAAAACCATGCGAAAACTTGGCCAGATAGCAAGTCTGTGAACTGAGATTTGAATCCAAGGCCTCCACAAATATGAAGAAGTTCTACCCACTCAAGTGTTATGTCTGAGCACACAGATGAAGGAATGGGAAGCATGTACAATAAAAAGGTGCATACTCACAACATCTAGGGCATTTATTGTGGTATCGTCTCTGCTGGCAGCAACACAACCATCATCTGGTGAGCCTCCATCACACATCCCAGCAAATGCTGCCATGGAGCGCGCAGCACGTAGATACATGAGAAGGTCTCCATCCAGTGTCATGGCAGGTACCCACCTCAACTCCTCACGCTCCTTTTCCAGATCAGGGTCAGGGATCAGGTCTGCCATGTCAGGACGATACTCTGGCAAGCGAGCCTGTGTGCATGTACCAAACTGGTATTATTCATGGTAGGGGCATATAAAGTACACAGCTGGAATTAGCCTCTTATGTGACATATTAATTCCAAGTTCCATCAACATATGCCAACTGGTACAGATATCCTTTGGAGAGGACTGACAGAAACAGACTAACCAACAAGACATCACTAGCAGAGCAGTGCTCATGTTATATTCATGCTGAAAAACATTTGTGCAGCCCTGTCAATTTTCTTACCTGGTGAGATGGCCCTACTCGTATTTCTCCTTGCGTGGAAGCCATGGTTGGTAATATCTAAATCAGTGTGACCCGAAGACCATCATTCACAGGCTGGTGGATTTCCTGGCTAGCTGTCAGTAAACAACAGAAGAGGCCAAACTATGTAAATCTTCATGCAAGTGGGGCGTCAGGGCAAAAATATTTCAGAAATGAACTCTATGCTGTAGTCAGATGTTAAGTTACATCTAAGTTACATCTATCCTGTTTACTTCTTTATTTTGATTTAATGTTGTTAAAACTCTTGATAAGGACTGTCCTGCAGGGGTGTACCTTATTACAAAATTATATGCATAAAAATAATGGATTTAAAATACAGAGCTCCGTGGTTCTTGTGGTTCTTGGCAGGTGAACAAGAACCAGAAGAAACTACAGAGCTGCGACTTTCTGACACCCAAAAATGAGTACGAGGCAGTAACATACAGAATGCCACAACATGCAGTAACTAAGGAAACTGCACTAACTACGGCCTATGTCAACAAATTCTAACATATTACTAGTTTCACCTTCAACAAGAAATTTATGACTCAGGTATTTTAAACCTTTTATCTTTATGCATACGAACTGTAAATTATCCTTTTCATGCAGTACGCCCCCCCTTAAGATGGTCCTGTAAGACTAAAGCCTGTCAGTGTTTTAATAATACATAATCAAAATAAAGGAATAAAATAAATACACTTAGATGGTAACAAAGACAGCATATAAGAAAAATGAACCCCATAAAAACACAATGTTATCTTTAATGACTGACTGCTGCTTTGGTGGTAAAGAAAATCTCTGTTATTACAGAAATCAAACAGTCATTACTGTGTTCACAAAAGCTTGCAATCTTATCAATCCAGAGCCATGGTCTAGGATACATGGTTAGACACATGCAGCCTGGGACTGTGAAGAAGCAAACTGGCCCTTATGGCTGCCCACTCTATTTCCAGAGTTCATTATTCACTAAAAATATTGTGTTTCTCTTTACCATTAAGCCAGCACCTTAACCTCTACTGCAGGAAACAGAAACATTAGAGCATTATTAATTTGGTACTTACACATTAACAGGTTAGCAAAGCAAATTTAAAACTTTACTTCCACACNAGAAAAAAAAAAGAAAAACTTGTGAACTTGCAAAAATTCCAAGCTTAGGTTTTTGGTTTTGTTTTTACAAATAAACTTTTAAAGATGACAACATTAATATGACGGACAACATGGCCGTAACATCTAAGTTACTCGAGTCACCCACTAATGTGTAACTATCATTTCTTTAAGAACACTGCCACTAGCTGAGACTGTACAGCATCTAATGGTATCAAATGAGTTAATAAATGAACTGGAAGAGAAATGGATGGAAGCAGGGAGTGCCTAACTTGCGTTCCTACGGCACCCATTTAGGGGGACGGACTGTGCAAAACCACAAAAACACAGCGGTCTCTGGGCCAAGATTTTAACCTGGGACCTCCAGAGTACTACCTGAAAGCAAAATTTAGTGTTCCTGAGTAAGTGAAGGGTAACATCGTTCACTGTTCACTTGTGCGGGTCAATTCTACACCACCTGATGAGGTAACATAGTATCAGTCGAGTGATCGCAGTGTAAACATGCGATATGCATGAACAATGTATTTCAATTTGTGTAATTTAAGGTTCTCACAGTGGTTAAGGATATGATGCCATGCAGTTCACTAGTTCCCTACCAGACGACATATACTTCACAAACCTGTAGGCCATTATCTTAGAAATTCACAATATTTACACTGTTTATACTAGCTGTCATGATAATCCTGTCTGTTCATGACACGCACTGTTGAAGTATTTATCTAGATAATGCTATGTAACATGAAGCACACAGGAAGTTGGGACTGATATGGAACACAAGAGACACTAGTCCAGGGGAACCAGTCACAGAGGCAATTTCTGGTATACTTCATGGCTTGAAGTCACATATATACATATACATAATAGTCTTGCAAATCTAACACTTGAATGTATGAGGGGTAGGCCTCCTCGGCCCTTGCAGCGCGACCTATAGTGGTCTATTGCGCTTAAATCTAACACTTAGTCTGTGTTCCATATAAACATGTTTCCAGTCACATAGGGCTATCATCAGGTATATATGATTCACACAGCTACACTGTATTTCAATATGGCAAACCCTCGCTAAACCGGTTACAGTTAATCCAGATCAAAACATGAAAAACGCTGCTCATGGTTGAGTACGTACTTTAAGACACATGGCATTTAGGAAGGCAGATGAGTCACTCTGTTCAGACCAAACTTGCATTATTATTACGTTCATAAAAAGTACAATTTCTGAGTCTTCTTTCAATGAATAAATGTACTGTCCTTTCACAGTTTTTAAATAAAGGCTCTACAGTTATATTTTGTTATTTATTTTTATTATATCATTAAATTTTCCCATTAATTGCATTCTAATTTTTTTCTTTTAGGGCTACCTTTTGTTTCACTAACCCGCATTATTGCTTAATCTGGATGACCGCCCCCCAGGTGATTCAGATTAGCAAAGGTTTACTGTACTTCATTTCATGCAAGATGTGAAAGACTAAATGTTTTTTTAAATGAATCTGGATCCTTGTTAAAATAATTTAAAATTATGTTTCAAGCATTTTTTCTTATATTCTCCATTTCTTGTGTTCTGTTTGTTGCTGTGTGTGCTGTTGGCAGTGCTGTGTACATTTGAGTCCACATGATGTGGTAGCTAGTGTGTGTGGACGAGTAGTCCACTACTCCCAATTACAACACAGCAACAAACAGAATATAACAAAGAATACAAAAGAAAAAGACATGTAATTTTAAAATTTAACAAGGATCCAGCCTGGAACTTTGAAACCCAGCATACCGAACCTCCCAAGGAAGAACAGACTGAAGCTCTTTGAGAACAGGGCGCTAAGGGCAATATATGGACCAAACAGGGATGAAATAACAGGAAGCTGGAGAAAGCTGCATAATCAGGAGCTTCATAAATTGTATTCTTCAAAAGGCACAACTAGAACGAATAAGCCAAGGAGGATGAGATGGGCCAAATATAATCAAGAGTGATCAAGTCAAGGGGGATGTCTGTATGTATGTATGTATGTATGTATGTATGTATGTATATATGTATGTAAGGGGTGGGCCATAAAAACCGGCCCCCGCACTGTGACCTTCAATAATCTATTGTGCTTTTGTGTCTAAAAAAACGTAAAACAAAACTATACATTTGCCTTTAGTTTTGTATGGGTGTGAAACTTGGTCTCTGATACTCGGGATGGACACAGAAAGAAGGCATTTCAGAAAGGGGGTGTTGAGAATATATGGACTGGAGACAGACTGAAAAATATTGGAAGGCTGAAGAAAACTGCATAATGGGGAACTTTGTAACTTGTATGTCGTGCCAAACGTAACTGCAATGATTCAGTCGAGGGGGGTGAGACTGGCACGCTATGAAGCTCACTAGAGAGAGAAGAGGAATGCATATGTGGTCTTGGTGGGAAGGCCTGAAGGAAAGAGAATAGTATGAAGACCTAGATGTAGGTGGATGATAAAATTGATCATAGAGAAAAAGGATGGGGTAGTACGGACTGGATTAATCTGGCAGAGGATAGGGACCAGAAGCAGGATCTAGTAAAAACCATAATGAACCTTTGGATTCCATAAGATGTTGGGAAATTCTTGAGTAGTGTAGCAAGTGGTAGCTTCTCAAGAAGGGCTCAGCACTGTGGAGTTAGTTTGGATCCATCTTGGTTTTAAAAACTTTCAAACTTTCACATCTTATGCAAAATGAAGTATTACAATACAGTGTAGCATTTTAATGAACTGTACATACACGATGATGGACCCATATGACCAAAACATGTTGTATTATGTATGACACAAAGACTAAGCGGTGTTTAGCCAATAATATATAAGACGTATTGCTATTACAAGGCTGCGAAAATGTGCTCGTAGGCATGTACACATGCACATCAAGTGCTCATCTAATGCAACAGGATACTCAGGTACAACATTACAAGTGACATAGCTGTGTGTGTGGCATAAATATGGAACGAACTGCAAAGCTGTGCATGGGAACCAGTTGTGAATCACATGACTGTTAACGATCCAGGAAAAGTTCGGTTATAGTACATCTCCAAGCTAAGAACTGAACTTAAGTTGCAAAAAGTCTGTACAGGTTATGATGTGGCTGGACCTGCTTGGACTGGTTAACAAAGGCCTTAACAGGTCACAACAGGTTTTAGAAAGGTTATGGCATGTCAAGAGGTTATAGGCTTGGACCAGCTTGGACAGATCTCAAAAGGTTGGCACAGGTCACAACAGTTTGGGTAAGGTATAGTCTGGTTTGGGCAGGTCTCAACAGGCAGAACAGGCAGGGATAAGAATGGACTGATTTGGACAAGTAAAAATAAATCGGACAGGTTATGTCAAAATGGGCTGGAAGATGCAGGAAGCAGGTTCCTCCACAACACTGATGTCCATCAAGTCATCACTGGGTTACAAAACATGTTGCTGCCTGCTGAAGTTACGTAACACTTTCGGTCTGTACTGCTCAGATCGGTGTTATGTGAGGTCATTACACAATAAGTTATCACAGGCCAAGGTCAGCTATGGGCCTGCCCTCTCCACAACTCAAGTTGTGGGTGTCATTTATCATCAAAAGATAAAGGAGACAGCTGTACTCCACACCGCTGAACCAAACTCCTGCATGCCTACCCACTTGAATACAACTATTTCCCTGTTAACCGTCAGGATCAACAAGACACAAAGAACAGTTTAAATTAATGAAATCCTGTATAAGTTTTGGGGTTTTCATGGTGCTGAGTGTATTTGTTTGGTTCTTCAGGGTTGTCACACTGGCTAGTCTTGTAGGCAGACACCAATGTTTTGGCAGGGTTGAAATTCAACTCTGAAGATCAAGGCAGCACATTCCTCCAGAATGATCTACAGCACTGTCAGTAAACATATTACAGACAGGTATAATCCAAACGAGTCTCACGAATTTTGGCCAATTACTGCCTTCAATACTGGTGTTCTAAACTGAAACATGAAACTCACCAATGGGCGACTGGTCATTTGGCTATTTAACCATCTGAAA